AGTTCTTCGTGAAATTTTGAAAAAATCAAAAAACGTCACATCTCGGAAACTAAAAGCATTTGAGCAGTCGCGTTTAGCAGTTGAATGTGGCAAGATTTGCAACTCTTTACAGTACCCTGACAACACCGAACTATAGTGTTGTAAATTTCAAATTTTGAAAAATAATTAATTGAAACTCTGAAGTTTTCTGAAAATTTTTGAAAAAATCACAAAAAACGTCATATCTCGAAAGCTACAAAGAACTGAGCAATCATATTTGAAGGCAAGATTCGCAATCTTTGAGAGTACTCTGACAGAACCTAACTACAGGGCTGGGAATTTCAGATTTTTAAAAACTAATTATAATTTAAGTTTCTGGAAATTTATGAAAAAATCGCAAAAAACATCATATCTCGAAAACTACAAAGAACTGAGCAATCATATTTGGAGGCAAAATTCGCAATCCAAACTTTTGTGCATTTTTTTGAACCTAAGCTTCCCGGAAAAAAAATTTAAAAAAAAACGTGTTATCGAGGAAACTTAAAGGATTTGAGCATTCATATTAAGAGGTAAGATTTGAGACGCCTGGTTGTACGATGACAATAAGGTTGTATCTTCATCAAGTTAGTATTTTCAAATTTTTTGAATTTCTTTGTATATAAGTTCTTCGTGAAATTTTGAAAAAATCAAAAAACGTCACATCTCGGAAACTAAAAGCATTTGAGCAGTCGCGTTTAGCAGTTGAATGTGGCAAGATTTGCAACTCTTTACAGTACCCTGACAACACCGAACTATAGTGTTGTAAATTTCAAATTTTGAAAAATAATTAATTGAAACTCTCTGAAGTTTTCTGAAAATTTTTGAAAAAATCACAAAAAACGTCATATCTCGAAAGCTACAAAGAACTGAGCAATCATATTTGAAGGCAAGATTCGCAATCTTTGAGAGTACTCTGACAGAACCTAACTACAGGGCTGGGAATTTCAGATTTTTAAAAACTAATTATAATTTAAGTTTCTGGAAATTTATGAAAAAATCGCAAAAAACATCATATCTCGAAAACTACAAAGAACTGAGCAATCATATTTGGAGGCAAAATTCGCAATCCAAACTTTTGTGCATTTTTTTGAACCTAAGTTTCCCGGAAAAAAAAATTTAAAAAAAACGTCTTATCGCGGAAACTTAAAGGATTTGAGCATTCATATTAAGAGGTAAGATTTGAGACGCCTGGTTGTACGATGACAATAAGGTTGTATCTTCATCAAGTTAGTATTTTCAAATTTTTTGAATTTCTTTGTAGATAAGTTCTTCGAGAAATTTTGAAAACTCAAAAAACGTCACATCTCGGAAACTAAAAGCATTTGAGCAGTCGCGTTTAGCAGTTGAATGTGGCAAGATTTGCAACTCTTTACAGTACCCTGACAACACCGAACTATAGTGTTGTAAATTTCAAATTTTGAAAAATAATTAATTGAAACTCTCTGAAGTTTTCTGAAAATTTTTGAAAAAATCACAAAAAACGTCATATCTCGAAAGCTACAAAGAACTGAGCAATCATATTTGAAGGCAAGATTCGCAATCTTTGAGAGTACTCTGACAGAACCTAACTACAGGGCTGGGAATTTCAGATTTTTAAAAACTAATTATAATTTAAGTTTCTGGAAATTTATGAAAAAATCGCAAAAAACATCATATCTCGAAAACTACAAAGAACTGAGCAATCATATTTGGAGGCAAAATTCGCAATCCAAACTTTTGTGCATTTTTTTGAACCTAAGTTTCCCGGAAAAAAAATTTAAAAAAAACGTCTTATCGCGGAAACTTAAAGGATTTGAGCATTCATATTAAGAGGTAAGATTTGAGACGCCTGGTTGTACGATGACAATAAGGTTGTATCTTCATCAAGTTAGTATTTTCAAATTTTTTGAATTTCTTTGTAGATAAGTTCTTCGAGAAATTTTGAAAACTCAAAAAACGTCACATCTCGGAAACTAAAAGCATTTGAGCAGTCGCGTTTAGCAGTTGAATGTGGCAAGATTTGCAACTCTTTACAGTACCCTGACAACACCGAACTATAGTGTTGTAAATTTCAAATTTTGAAAAACAATTAATTGAAACTCTCTGAAGTTTTCTGAAAATTTTTGAAAAATCACAAAAAACGTCTTATCTCGAAAGCTACAAAGAACTGAGCAATCATATTTGAAGGCAAGATTCGCAATCTTTGAGAGTACTCTGACAGGACCTAAGTACAGGGCTGGGAATTTCAGATTTTTAAAAACTAATTATAATTTAAATTTCTGGTAATTTATGAAAAAATCGCAAAAAAACATCATATCTCGAAAACTACAAAGAACTGAGCAATCATATTTGGAGGCAAAATTCGCAATCCAAAATTTTGTGAATTTTTTGAACCTAAGTTCCCCGGAAAAAAAATTTTAAAAAAAACGTCTTATCGCGGAAACTTAAAGGATTTGAGCATTCATATTAAGAAGTAAGATTTGAGACGCCTGGTTGTACGATGACAATAAGGGTGTATCTTCATCAAGTTAGTATTTTCAAATTTTTTGAATTTCTTTGTAGATAAGTTCTTCGAGAAATTTTTGAAAAAATCACAAAAAAAGTCATATCTCGAAAACTACAAAGAACTGAGCAATCATATTTGGAGGCAAAATTCGCAATCTTTGAGAATACTCTGACAGGACCCAATTACAGGGTTAAGAATTTAAGATTTTTAAAAACTAATAATAATTTAAGTTTCTAGAAATTTTTGAAAAAATCGCAAAAAAACCTCATATCTCGAAAACTACAAAGAATGAGCAATCGTATTTGGAGGCAAAATTTGCAATCTTTGAGAATACTCTGACAGGATCCAACTACAGGGTTGGGAATTTCAGATTTTGCGGAAAAAAAACAATCTACGTTTTCTGAAACTTTTTTGAAAAAATCACAAAAAACGTCATATCTTGGAAACTACAAGGATTTGAACAGTCATATTTGGAGGCGGGATTTTTATCTCTTTAGAGTATTTCTGACAGCACCCAACTACAGGGTTGGGAACTTCAAGTTTTGAAATTACTTTATTTGAAATTTCTGAAAAATTTTGAAAAAATCTGAAAATCGTCTTATCTCGTTAACTAAAATGATCGGACATTCCAAATTGGAGGCCAAACTCGCAATCCCTAATTCGATATTGGGTTGATTAATTTAAACTCGGTAAAGTAACTACTAAAATCAAATTGAAAAATCGCAAAAAAAATCTTAACCATTGCAATATACGATATAGCTTAAACATGCAAAAATAATACGTTGAAAAAGCTGAAACATGGCGAGATAGTGAATCCCGCATTTAAATATATAATAGATAGATAGATTAAAAAAACAATCTTTTTGCTGTACCTTATGATAACGGCACTGGATTTTGTGTTATGAAAAGACAAACTTATGACAAGAAACTACAAGAACTTTTGCATTGCCAACAGTTTACAGAAATCGAAAACGGCACTGATAGTTTGATCTTGAAAGTAGAAAAACTACTCAAAATGAAAAAAAAAACAAGAACCCATAAGTGATAAAAATTTATTCAAAACTCAGAACTACCGGAGCTCAGCCCGCTAGGTTATACGGTTTGGCTAAAGTACATAAGAATGAAATACCACTCCGTCCGGTTCTATCAATTCTTGGCAGTAATTATCAAAAGCTCAAATTTTTGACCTCCTTTTGAAAAGGTTCCTGGGGCAAACATTGAAACATCAACGTTAGATGCTCGAGAAAAACTCGAAAAACTAATACTGGACAAAAATGAACAAATTGTTGCACTAGACGTTAAAGAGTTTGTACACAAAACTTCCCGTATCGGAAGCAATTTATGTTGCCTTACCTGGATTGTATACAACTGAATACGCACCAGATATTGAGCGTTCAACTCTTATAATAGTGCTTAAGTTAGCCGTGACAAAAGTTTAGTTCAAAAGCAATGGACAATGGTATTCTCAGAAGGATTGGTTAGCCATGGGTGCATCCCTAGCAGTAACTTTGGCTAATATTTTGATGCAATCTTAACTTAAGATTAAAACGATGGTATAAAGCAAGTAACAAAAAACATCTGAAAAAAGTCCAAAATGTAGTAAATTTGTTTGGAACAGTCAAGGCGTTGAATGTGGAAAATATGAAAATTGGTTTCATGCTAAGTGTCAAAACATCAGTAACGACGAATACCAAAATTTACCAGATATTCAACTTGTAGTAATGAAAGAAAACTGTTTGAAAGATACGTAGACGACATAATTTGTACAGTAAAAGGGGACCCGAACACGTTACTCAACAGGGTGAACTCGTTGCATAAGAACCTACACAATTTACTATAGAAAAGCCAATGAGAAGGGGAAACTTGCTTTTTGGATATGAATATTGTACTAAATCATTAAAGGGAGATCACATGCAAATGCTATCGAAAATCAACTGATACTGAATCTATTTTGAATTTTCATAGCTAGGCACCCCTCCAGCACAAAAAGAACATTGCGGAAGTAACAATCGAGAGATTGTTTCGTAGGACCAGTAACTTGAACAATTTCGACGAAGCGTTAAAAACCAACGATGAAATGTGGAAGAATACTCTTAGATACTCATAAACTTTAATATTTATCATTTTGATTGTAAAAATCTTTTTAACTGTAAATATTTTTAGTTGTATATAGATGATGATGCTATTTATAGCGAAAACGTTCGTACCTTAATTAAAATTCTATTGACTTATAACAATCATAATTTAAAAAAATAATTGGAACTGAGTTTATTTCATCACAAGCCAATAATGCCGAAATATACGGAAACGATTATATTTTTTGTTTCATTAAAGCTCACCAAAGCCGACAAACAAAAAAAACACAGCCAACCAGGTAGATAACTTAATATTTTTGAATCTGTCAAGTTCTTGAGGACTGTGGAGGGAGAAAACACTTTTTTAGAACTTTTCAGGAGGGAGGAGGAAGACGAGTCGCAAATAGATAAAATGCACTTACGACCAGAAATCTTCAACTGTTTGAAAAGAGTGTACTTTTTTCTGCCCACCAACCCACGATGCTCCTGGTTGATCTTTTTTGAACCATAGAGACCAAGTTTTCTGTAGGGGGTGATATTCTGCTGGTACTCCGCCTTTTTCCTTCTCGCACATTTCTTTGTCGTCTGTTTTATGGACAGTTGATAAATTTGCCGACCTCATGTCACTTTTCGAAATTTCAACCATAATGATGCCTGAAACAAAAAGGCAAAGACATCAACACTTAATTGCAAGGACAGCAACACTTGACATCTTCTTTTATCCTTATCACTTCCATATCTAGGAAATTCCGTGGATTTTGACTAGAATACGTGATGAAGGGACTCCTGACTGTAACTTCGGTTACTATGATACTTTTGACCTTCTGGTTACCTTAAAAAAAGAAATAAAACAGAAAAAAATAGGCAAAGAAGGAACTCATCTAGAACAACGACAACTTTACAAAAGAATCATATGGGTAAATAATTCAAAGCTTGTAACAGTCGCCTACTTCAGTCACATATGAGGCTTAAGAAAAACAGGCCCTATAACCATTGGCTCATGAGTTGTAACATTCGCCCGGAAGATACATATCGACGGAAAATAAAACTAAGTCCTAAGACGACTGGCCAACGTCTAAACAGAGCTTTACATGCTTTTAACCGTCTCTACCAGAGCCAGTTCTTTTGGTGGTCTTTCTAACATCGGGTCGACAAAAACGTTACTGCTTTCGGCTTCGGTCAAAACACTCAAATTAACTTAAATACATGCAGAAATAGTGAGCTCATGGCTGGGTCTCAGTATCCCCAGACCACGAGGTCACTCCTAAAAACAGGACTACTACTACTTATTGAATTACTATTGTTTTTGTTCAGTAGATTAAAATCATCATCTCTATCGAAGATGGATCAACCCTTTCCCCCAACTCCTAGCTTGTCATCCTAGCAAAATGAATTCAGATGTTAATTAAATTCAACTCAGGACATGACGGGGAAGCTAAAAGTTTGTATAAGATGATAAAAGTTCCAGTCCCGAGACCCTGTTTGGCTAATCGTCCCAATAACGTTGTTAATCTCTTAAAATCACTAACTCGGAAGGTTCGCTGCTAAAAAGTCGATATCTGCAGAGACTGCATTTTGGCCATTCTGGTCGAATGTCACATACTCCCCTGACAGTTCGGTCAATGTCCCCATTGAATCTCGCAATGTTCGTATAATCGGCACAGTGTCATCGAACAGAATTTACAAAATGCACGAAATTACTTTTATCCGCGTCACATCGACTCACTGCAGAATACAAATGGCATCATACTACATCACTATAGCCTTCAAAATCTTTCATTAACCTGCACATTGAGGATATGAGCTAAGATAAAAACATCTTTTCTGACTTCCAATGTCAATGTCCTGATTGAAAACTTTTTCTCTTAGATTTAAAAGATTTTGGTTAGCAGGACAGTCCTGCCAACCAACAAGCTAAAGTTATCCTACTATACTCCTTCCCTTCGGAAATCTTGCTTGTTATTGTTCTGAATGTTAAATCTAAGAAACTCTGTGGTTAGAAAGAAAAATGAAACAATCTCCCTCTTCAGGAGATTATCAAAGTCTTTCATGTCACCACAAAGTGATCAGTCGTCCTAAGTGATTAAAAACAATCATGCAGGCTGGAATATTTAAATATACTCTTCACTCAAGCCTTTCTTAATAAATAATAAGTGTCTCTAAAGCCACTTAACTAAAAATTAAAATGCAAATTTTTAAACGCAACAAATTCTTTAAGGTTCAAAACTCAACTAAATGTTTCAGTTTTCAATTACAACTTGGTTGCTTGGTTTCTCACTTGAGTTTTTTCACACACATAAAAAAATTCTGAATTTTAACTTCTTCTGTTTCGTCATTTTTTTGTTTCTTCTCTTTTCGTCGTTAAGAAGTTCTAAAACTTCTAAATTCTTCTAATTTTCCTTCTTTTTGCCTCTTGTTCTTTCGAGCGTTCGTCAATGTCCATCGCTTCCTTCTGTGATACTGACTCTGCACTTTCAGTTTCTGTGTCTTGCAACACATCCTTAGCTATTCTGACGCTGTTGGAAGCAGTCCTCCAACACTTCTGCTCTTCTACCCTCTGTTTGCAACAAGGTAGGGTAGATTCTCTGTTTCTGCAGAAGCTGTTGTGGAGACACAACGTCACATTTCTCTCCAAATCCTCCTTCAACATCTCCGCCTTCTCCTTTCCACTACGTTCACTTGTCCTGGAAATTCTTTTCACAGCGGTGGTCACTGCATTCCGATGAGTCACGAAAGCTCGCTTGAAAGCTACTGCTCCAATGTCCAGCTGATATTCACTGTACACTCTGCCGTGCTTCGACATATGCTTCTTAGCATATTTGTACAACCATGCAGTCATGTTAGCTCTGAACCATGGCATCAATCGTCTTCTTGCCCATATCTTCTTCACTTCCATCGGAATGTTTAGAATCTTGCACATTGTCTCAAAAAGATCTAAATCTTTCAGAAAATCCAATTTCTGCAACTGTTCTCTCGTTGGCGCTTCCTGTCTATTGTTCTCTCTAACATGAGCTTCCAGCCATCGTCTCGCCATCATAACTCCCACTATCGCTATTGTTATGGGCTGTGATGAGTCTGGTAAACCCATAGAGAGCAGCTCTCCAGAGTCCCAGATCAACATCAGATTACTACGCTTGGGATACCACCAAGTCTGCAGCAAGCAGTGGCAGGGAAACTCGTCATGTGTCAACATGATGCTCCTCCAATTACGTTTACCCGAAGCTTCCAGTAATGATTCCACTTCCATCCTTACTCGGTGGACTTCATCATTCTCGTTTACTGCATTGTATTCTATAACGGTTGATCTTCTCTGTTTCTGTCTCTCAAAGTCACTGAAGTTCCCACTCACGTATCCCATGAACTTCCTCCCAGTATCGATTCCAACTCCTCCTTTGTTCTCTCTGGGACCGCTGAGAACATCTTGCATAGCAACTCGTAAAATTTTTCGGATATTCTTGTCAGTCTCACACACTTTGGCACTGAGAAGGCTTGATCCACGATCGTTCTCGTACTCTTTACATCCAAAGCTACGAAATGCACCGGGTATCTGCTCTTGCACATTGGAGCCAATGTCGAGCCCACCAAATATCGTGCTCCTGATGGTCTACAATAAGTCTCACTGTGTCTGATGTTCATTTCCGCCTCGATCGCTTCCCTCCATTTTCCTATTTGTTTCTGCTCGGTTTGCAGAACTCCTGGGAATACTTCTACACTGATGGCAGTGACCATCTCATGTCTCTATTCTAGATTCAATGGTGACTCCAAAGAACTAAACATGCTGTAGAATCCTAGTGCAGTCACTAGATTCACCTCGGTTTCTCCATGGCAATCCGCGATCAGTTCCGTTTCCGTCCATGCTTTCATCGCGACATTCCCAAACAGTATCGTCAATTGCTTGTGTTGTCTCTTTAGGGTTTTCACACAATCCAGACCTCTACAAACGTGACCTTCCAGTCCACAGACTTCCGCCAGACAGCTACCAGGTTTTACCCAGTCTTCTGGTCCCCAGCCAGGCAACTCCACTTTATCTTGCCCGTTGCTCCTAGAAGCCGTTATCATCACATTATATATGATGTTAAGGTCACGCAGGTTACAGTCTGTATTCAGCTCTTTCTGCACATCTCATGTCGGCCGTAATATCGAATCAGCGTTGAGACTAGGACACCATGATGGCCTCATCGGTTCCCACACTACCATCAAGCTCGTTCTCAGCAATTCATCTGAGAATCCCAATCCAAACTCCACTCTTTTATCGGATTTTGGTACGGAAGGTGCAGTCACCTCTTCTTCCAAGACCAGTCCCAATTTAATCTGAGGATTGGTAGCGCTCTTGATCGTTACGATTCTCGACGTCCAGAATCTTAGCAACACTGCCTGCTCGTAATCGAAAAAGCAATCGCGTACGTCTTCACTCAGGAACAGGTTGTACGCTATCCCTATGATTCCGGATACGTAGCTGTACGACTTCTTCTTGATCGGTCCACAGTATTCACTGGATTTCGGCAGTGCCCCCATAGATTCTTAACTGAGTCTCAGCTCCTTGTTTGAAAATCTCCTGATTTCGTCTATCTTTCTCATGGGCTCTAACTCCTCGGGTTCTTTCATATTCACCCTCATCGGTTTGCTTTGTTGCATATCCAGCAGTGCTAGCAAAAGTAAGGCTTTTGCTCGCTAATCGCCCTTCCTCAGCATCTTGACACAGGTGTTCAATGCTGGTACTGAAATCTGCTCTATCATGAATTGAATGAAACAGAGAGAGTCTCTCCGCTTCGCATACGCTACTGCTGCTCCCTCTTGGATTATCAGATCCCTCAGGTTCGTCATAAGGAAAACCTTCTCTTCTTTTGACCTCTTCCTTTCTTCTGAATCATATTCTTCGCGAGTCAGTCCCATCATGCACCAGGCGAACCTCAGTTGTAATTCGGTTCCCACGTAAGGTACTGCCATGAGAGCGTGTATTCTTGGCGCAGTCCTCATCTCTTCTTCGAAGTACCGTAACACCACTGCTTTCCATGGAAGGCTCACCAGCTGCTCTATCGTTTCTGCCTGTATCTCAGACGACGCTAAAGTCCCATACGCCTTCTGCTTGAGGGTGATGCCCTGCAACATTGTTTCCAGATAATTCTCCATGGCAGTCTTGTCTTCCAGAGCCATCACATACCCTCTAGCCGATTTTCGGTACTCCAAAATCTCCATGTATCCACCGGCGGGTTCATCTATCGACACAGCCTCCGATACTGTCAGTCGGTTATACTCCACTGGTAGTAGTTGTCCTGCGACATGGGAGATGGCTTAAAGTCTTTCATTGTGCTCTCTCCCTATTGGCTGAGTATTTCCATTTATAAGGTCGCTCAAGTCAGAGTGCGGTCACTCTTTTTGGATTTGTAAACTGTTGACTTTATCCCCGCCATGAGAATGGGTGGCACCATCGGTATATCAGTCAACATTTTTTTCGTGCCAGGCAATTGATAATCACCTTGTCCCAAATCCATGAACTCCTCAACTCGTTTTCTTTTCGCTGAATTGACAGCTTTAACCGATATCTCCGAATCCACCTTCGTCTTTCCTACTCTCCTCGGCATCACTCTGCTGCCTAACTTCATTTTCATCTCGTTGATCTTATCAATCACCAATTTCAATCGCATCCTTCCTTT